CGCCCACAGTCCCCCGGACTCGAAAACTATGGTTATTCGCCCTATTACTGTACTAGAATGATGACTGGTCCTCCAAGTTTAACCTTCATTATTGTAATGATTGTCGTCGTCGCCACCTGCCGCGGCAGCGGTGGCGGTGGTCTAGAAGTTAATTTGTTTGTAGTGTGGTTATGACTTGCAATATTCATACTGTTTTTGCACTTGTTACATGTATTGCTATGGTTCAAACTATTGTTACTCTTACCTGTAAGAATGATGCTGATGCAACTATCTAGCAGTTAGGTTGTTTCATTATCTTGTTCTTGCTAGTCCGGGGCTTCCCTCAATGCCGAGCCCCCGTATGGACCGAAACCACATTACCATCCGCATTCCGAGGACGCCCAGAAAGGGACCCCCTAAACCCTAAACCGTTGTTGGAAACCTTCTTCAGGCAGATGACCTGCTTGACGCGCATTTCGACGAGCGGACCTTCCGCAGCCACTCGAGCGCGCTGTTGCAGAGTATGGTAAGCTCCCCACTTGAGCGCAAGACACTTCCAGTGTTTAGGGTTTAGGGTTCAGGTCCTTGAAAAGGAGGGACTAGTGGGAATGCACTTCCTCAAAACGGGATCCTTACCATATAGGGAACCTACATTATGGCCATTTCGGGGACAGGCATTTTGAACAACTACCACTTACCTTCGGTTAGCTGGGAATGAAGGTATGGAAAAAACATGGAAACGGCTTTAGACTGTAATGAGTCATATAGGGACTACACTATTGGGATCCATTCCTTCATTCCTAGCTAGCCAAAGGCAAGAGCATGAAGGTCTAATGTAGAGGCCTAGATAATTAGGATAGCGTGTTGGGGGTCTAGTATGATCATGATCATGCCATATAAGTGTTTGAAGGGTTGAGGGTTTAGGGTTTAGGATGTTTGAAGGGCATGGTATGGATGTTTATTGAGGTCTCTGCAGTGCTTCTACCCCAACGTCGAACACACATACAGAAATCCCTGAGCCCTACAGACCCTCTAATTAAACCCTTACAAGCCATTGCCTCGCAAATCCTACGCCCCTCCCGAATCCCTAAACCCTATAGTCCCCCTTACGTAGATAGGATATGGCTTTGGGTATATTATAACAAGATCCCCAAACACCCCATATTCTAGATTCTTAAGGGGGACTATATCCCCATATAGCCCCAATAATATGGCACTTTCCATTTTCTTTTCCATTATCCCTATATAACCCCCAACCTAAACCCTAAACCCTAAACCATAATTAAGGGGGACTATAATCCTTCAAAGCGGCCTCAGGATGATGGCCAAAGTCAGTGCCCTCGGTCTCGGAAAGCTCCTGCACCGGTCGAAAGAAGCCGTTCGCGCTGAGGTGGCATCTTGCTTGGATTCAGCATCTGGGAAAGTAAGGGTTCATCTAGTTTCTCTGCAAGGTTCAGGGACTTGTGCTAAGGGCTTAGATTTCAGGGTGTCCGCTTTAGAAATCAGGGTTCAGGGTTGATTGAAATGTGATGGGAGAAAGATTTAGAGAGTAGGGTCTTGAGTTGCAGATCTTCAGTTCGCGTGAAGTTTGCCACGCGTTCAAGAACTGCCATGAGCGGAGTAGCGAAACTGCTCGTTGACAACAAGCCGAGGGCCCCCAAGTCCAAACCCTAAACCCTAAACCTTTTTATTTCTGCCAGTAAGGTTCGGCAGCACATTGAGCAATGCCGCGGAGATCCCACGTGTTGGGAACAGGTGTCCTCCCTTCAGGCTTTTTTTCTTCGAGTGCAACGTGGAGGATCAGGCAAGCCGTCTTGCATCCCAGCAAAGAGCCACGTATCCACGCACACAACGAATGACAACAGCACCACTGAGATCTTTGACCTCAGCTACTCGGTTGCTGTGCAGGAGCCTTAACTAAGTTGCCATGATACGAACATATACAAAAGAGGCAGTAAATTTGAGCAGCTCTCCATACCTGTCATTTAGCTTAACTTCCTTTACAGCGACCCAGGCAATCCCATCGGGCAGGTTTGGTCAGCTGCTCGGGCCGCAAAGGGTGCCCCGCCTGAACTTAAATCGAAATCCCTGTCGTGTGGCAGATCATGCAGCTTTCCCAACCCGGGAGTTAAATACACGCTCTACGAAATCCAGCATGAAAAGGGCACCTTGACTGTCGGAGAGAAAGCACGTTTTTGGTTGCTCGACGATGAGAGCCTTCAGGGGACTTGGGTGCTTCTGAATAGCGTCAGCAAGGATGATATTCTCATTGTGTCAGACTACACTGATGGGCAGATCACCACAGGGTACAGCAAGGTTTTAGAAGTTCGTACACGCTATCGCGATGAGATGCTCTGTTCAGCAGACTGTGCAGACTTCTTTGCAGATGGAGTGCTGATTGACTGCGGAGGGAATGCAGCTACACGCCTGTGGAAGCTTTCTGCTTCCGTGGTCCCGCTGCTTCTCATCCTCTGGGTGACAGCATAGGCACCTGCAGGAGTAGCAGCATATAGCAGCATTGTCCCAACTATAAAGACTTGGGTCTCGTGAGGAAGCCCGGCTGACTGGCGGCAGAAAAAGCATGTGCCCTATGATCCATGCAAGCAGTTGTTGCAAGGTAGGCCGCGCGTGAGGTGAGGCAACGACATCTGGAAAATGGCTAGATCCCAGTACAACTAGCTTCAAGCCTTGGGCTCCCAATGTCCCTGTCAGTGTTACTTTATAACCCTAAACCCTAAACCCTAAGCCCGCAACAAGACGAGGAAGCCGGGAAGATGCTCGCTACATCCCTAGCCTGTCATCGATCTGCTGTGGAAACCCAGAACCTCCTATGTCGTTCCCTTTTCGGTGAGTTTAGGGTTTAGGGTAGTGTATTCTAAGCCATATAGTCCCCCTTAAGTAGATAGCATATGGGGAATTTGGGGATCTTTTTATAACATACCCAAGGCCATATTCTATCTACTTAAAGGGGACTCTAGCCACAAAACCCATAACAAACGGAAAAGGGAACTACAGGGGTAACGTTCACGCAGAGGACTTCTACCGGCAAATCTCCCCGCACGCTGGGGTTCATTACGCCTCGCCTACTCGTCAGCAACTCCTGCTGCCGCTGCCAGGAAATGGGGCTTGGGGTTTAAGGTTTTGGGATCAGCGTTCAAGATTTTTGGATTCAGGGGTCAGAGTTTGGGATGTACCATGAGAAGTATTAGGTCTCTCTTCATGCAGGGGTCCTGAAAACAGCATTTGTTGAAAGAGGCCCGGGGTGCCTTGGTTTTCGGATGCTGGCCATTTGTCTGATGTAGAAATTCCATCCCTTAGGGGTTATATTGGGGTTATAAGGGTTATATTGGGGTTATACGGTTATACAGGTTATATTGGGGTTATAGGGGTTATATTGGGGCTATATTAAGGTTATATTCCAACTACAGCGGCTTCCGCATGCCATATCACATGTAGAACCCCGATGTAGTTCCTCTCTGCTGATACCCTCCAATAGACGCACTGTACGGTAGGCTAGAATTCTGCCCTAATATGGATTATTCTCTAAATCATGCCCGCTCTTGGGTACATATTATATGACGGCTCCTTGTATTTATGGGTACCAAAATGGGACCTTAATTTTGAGAACTACCCATATGTAGGGTACCCAGAACGAGACCCTAAACCACCCTAAACCCTAAACCCTACCCTAAACCCCGCAGAAGCCTGGCCTGCCAGAGGAAGTCCATCCGCCACTCAGCCAAGCACTCCACGCTTTCTCAGCCACGTGGCCCTTGCCCAGGAGGAACGCGGTTTAGGGTTTAGGAAAGCTACTGAATGTGAATTGATGGCTAAACTTGAGGGTCTGGATTTAACCCTAAACCCTAAACCATTGGTTTCAGGGCAGTTTTAAGATGGTTTGGACGAGGCTTTGAAGGGGAGTTAGATATGCCCCTAACAAGTCCCCACTCAAGTTGTATATTGGTGGGAATACTGGCAATCAGGGGGTTGGAGGCGTTATAACGGAGAGGTGAATAGTTTGGGTGAATTTTCGGGAAGGACTGTTGGAGAGAAGCTTCAAGGCAAGCTGAACCTCATTTCGAATGGTTGGCGATAGACCTTGTTAGGCGCCTTCATGGGGGATTTGGCGGCTAAAGCACATCACAGAAAATTGAGGGGGTCGGTTTACTCAGAATGGTTGGTAGGGAAGAAGGGGATGGATCCTCAGAGTGACTTTTTGATGCTTCCCGATCATATCAAGCCGCCCATTCCTTCATTCATTCCCTACTAGCCAGTAAAAAAGACCGCAATCTTTGTAGGTCCTTTTGGGGGCCTCAACGTCAGTTCGAGCGAGGTATTCCAAGGCTTAACCTTCAACCCTGAACCCTAAACAGTTGTTTGGGGTGTTCGTTCAGGGGAGTGTAACTACGTGTTGAGTTGTCGCCGTATCGGTTCCGGCCGTATATGCCAATTCGTGTACAGCTTGTAGACTTGTTCATCTAGGTGTTCATTGACGGTCCCGTCAAAGAGGTCAAAGCCATGTCCAGGGATATATACATATGTATCTATATCGATATCTATATCTCTACCTACATCTATTGACATGGGCCTGAATTATGCCCAGCATTATTCCTTAGGATCTCACGCAGTCCTGGTATAGCAGTGGCACAATGTAGCCCAAAATCCTATTCCATTTATTTAGGCCGCTACATTGCTGTTGAAGCTGTGGCTTTGCAGGCCGTGTCTCCCCGCTGTATATAACGGGCAGTTGCAATCTTTCTTTAAGACTTGCTGGAAAAGGGTTAAGGTTTAGGGTTTGGGGTCCAGGGTTTAGGCAGCTTCTAAACCCTGAACCCAAACTCTCAAAGTATGATAGACGCGTTGCTAATCGCAATCGTCTGTCCGGGGCATTTCTTCTGTGCCGCCTATGCTCAGGTATCCGAAAACAAGGGCCTCTGTAGCAAGAGTCAGATCAATCTTCGTGGGTGACGTCGAGTAACAGCACCATATATAGTCCCGCTTAAGTAGACAGAGCATGGCTTTGGGTATGTTAAAATAAGATCCCCATATTCTTTCTACTTAAGGGGATTATACCCCTCTTACAACTGTTCCTTCGAGTCTGATGGTGTTCTTTTTGTTGTCTGCTTGCTTGCTTGGTTGCTGTATCGCTGCTGAAGCATCAGTGTCTCGTGCTCATTTGCACTGGCAGGAACAGTATGACTGGCGACAATTGCTAATGCCATGATAACGGCCACTAGTATGAAGTGGAAATTTCTCACTAGAATTCTCATAGCATGCCTGCAGGGAACCTGAAGACCTTCATTTCACCTTCTTTTGAGAGCCCCGCCCCTCAGTTACTTGCGCCACCAGCAGCCTCGTCAGGACTCGAGGAGGGAGCCGTCGGAAGGCAGTTGGGGTTTAATTATAACTCGGCTTCTCTACCTTATGTAAGGAGTGTCTTGAGATAGTGTTTGACCTGAGAAACGATAAGGAGTAAAAGCGATAAGGTTCAGATTTGTATTTGCCGATAAAACACTAATATATATATATATACATAATAGTCTTCGGATGTACCCTCATTATTTTATGATGGCCCCTCAACACTTGACCAGTACCAGTGTACTCAATTTCTTGAGTATGGCCCCAGATGATTGGAACGCGAGGGACCCAACACGATAACACAACCATACCAAAAACGTTAGGGTTGGATTCACGACAGGCCGTTTTGAAGGACCAGCCCCACCAGTATGCGCTAGCACTACTTGCACAATTTGCCGTACTGAAAGAGAGAGTCCATCGATTCCCACTTCATCTCCTACTCTTACCGCAGTCAGAACTAGCTGACTAATTGGTCGTTTTGTTGACACCGCCCTCATATTCCTTGTGAAAGCCGTTGAACCCTCCTTCATCCAAAGCCCCTTTCTTAATTACTCTCCGTTTAATACTTGGAAAAGCAAGGAAGCCCCAAACATTGTAAAAGGATAAGGAGTAAAGAAAGACGATAAGGTTGAAGGTTATGAAGGATTTAATACGGGGTTTTATACAACCCCACTTGTTGAGGTCTACGATTCCCGAATGGGGGGCCGCTTCAAATGAGGGAGAGGCTACGAAACTTCAACCTTATGGAGTAGAAGGGATTTCGGGATTGCCTCCCCCTGAAAGCAACTCCTGTTCAGGACCCCTAAACCCAAAGTTTGCGCAGGGGGGGGAGGAGGGCTGCAGGGTTCTGAGTTTATGGCCCCATCCTGAGGTGGAGGCTGATTTTTTCAAATTTGGTTCAAGGTTTTAGGGCTTCATGTGCCCCAGTATCAACACCTCCTCTCCTAGCGATTTTGAACAGATACCATGGGTGACTGGGAAGATCTCAAGCCATTTTAAGAGGAACATCCTGCAAAGCTAGCATGCCGTGAGTTGCAGTGGGTGAGTGGCCGCGACGGTGAGGACTGGTTATGGACTATCCATTGTGGGTATGGCTGTTGTACGTTCATTTTGTACGCCTGTTTTTGCTTGACCAGTACTTGCAGCAGCCGCTGTTAGTCGTATTCCATGGTACCCCCAACCCTTGTTAGCTGCATAACAGAAACATGTAGTTGGGGGAAATCACCATGCAGGTATCATTCGACTTGCTTGTTGTTAGTTAGTAGGAAACGGAGGATCTGAACCCTAAACCCTAAACCCATTTCGATTTTCTTTGCCACTCCTGCAGCCCAAATCCTTAACCCCATGCCAATTTCCAGGTGCTTTTCCATTCCTTCATTCCCTAATGGGTTTAGGGTTTGAGTAGGGTTTAGGGTTGCCTAAACCCTAAATCGCGACCAGCGCAATAAGAAGCCCTAGGTTCCATTCCATTTTTCCGGCTGCCTTTCCATTTCTTCCTACCTAGACCCTCCTCCTACCCTCTATTAGGGCCTAAGTACCCACTATTAGGGACCATATATCCCCAAGTAAGGGTACAAGGAGGGTCCTGGTAACAACCAGCAAGTAATTTTCTCATCTTTTGCTACCACTGCCCGTAGTTTCTGCTTTGAAGTTCCCATATATAGGAGGATCCCAATATAGATCGAAATATATTACAACCCTTATCATGGAGACCCCCAAAAGGTACCCCTAATTTTGGGAAACTCCCAAATAGGAGCAATCAAGGCGGAACTCTTGAGAGCGGTAGTGCGCTGGGCTGGTTGAGTAGAACCCATACTCTAAGGTTAGTAATATGCGTGGTTGTCAAAATTATGGTCCCCTTTTTGGATCCTTATACTATCATACGGCACCTAATATTTAGGGTACCCAAAGTCGGACCATAATTTTTACAAGCACCCATATGGGCCCCGAATATAGGCCCTTAGGCATTTGACCCTTTAGGGGGATTCTAGGGACCCTTAGGGGTACATGGTTCCAACATATGAGACATACACCCTAAACCCTAAACCCTAAACCCTACCTACGTCCATTTCAGACATCCAGGCGCATCTCCTGAAAAGGTCAGTTCGGCCACGGTGTTTGAGGCTCGA